GCGACAATTATCGCCAGATTTTGTGGAGGTATTTCCACCAACCCCACACGGACCTTAAGTACATCCACATTGTGGACGTAATAATCGCAGACGTTACTTTACGTCCAGATCATTGGACGTATTTTCGCAAAGCGCTTCATTTACGTCCAAACTGCTGTGGACGTATTTACCGTGGACATGTCGGGTTGCCCCCCTAGCACGATGTAGTTAATACGGTGTCGGCACTGAGCTATCCGAGGGGGCCACGGAATGACGGCACATTCGTAGTTCCAGAAGAGCCGGCAGTGGCGCTGGGGTCGACCGATGCCAGGTGAGGGGAGAAGGGACGAGACGAGCGGGGCACCGCTCCCGTCCCCTCCCGCCACCCCTCGCCCGGTATCGGTCGACGCCAGCGCCACTGGCGGCTCTTCTGGAACTACGAATGTGCCGTCTTTCCGCGGCCGTCTTTTAGCCCGCTACCGGCCGGAGAGCCTACACCGTATTAACTACATCGTGCCCCCTAGACAGAGAGTCTTGTGGTGAGCTAAAAACGTCTTGATTCAAACTGTACAAAATTCAAGCACTCGGCTAGACTTAATCCAAGAATGCATTTTTCTGGGTGCTCTGCGCAAGTCCCCGTCAGAGCCGTGTCGTCGTGCGTGATGGCAGGGGTTGGCGGCACCGCCAGCGTCGACGTCCTCTATGACACCCTGGCGAGTGCGACGTCGGCCCCGGAGTCGCGGGCCCATACCGCGGTGCGCACCGATCTGCTTGCTGAGCGGGTGAACCCGTCGGCTCGCCTGCGTCGTTGACGTTGTTGTGCTTGCTCAGGCCCTGGACGTCGTGGTGCACTACCTGCGGATGATCTGCGCCTGGCCCGAGGGCCGTGGGCCGCTCGCGCGCTTTCTCGGTGAGTACTTCTTGCCGCTCTCCTTCGCTGCGTCGGGCGTGCCGCAGCTGGTGTACTTCGGCCTGGGCGAGCACGACAATAACGTGGAGCTTTTCGGCCTCCTGGCGGACGCGCTCGGGTCCATTATCAGCTGCTTCAAGATGCTCCACCTGCAGAAGCACGCCGTGACGGTGGGTAGGAAGGGTGTTCTCCAAGGTTCGTCAGTTGGTAGGCCCCTGAAGCACCCCGGTGCCCCGACAGATCATGGCCGTTCGCGAGATCCTGGCCGACTTCACGCCGATGGAACGCTCTTTGGCCAGCCAGGCCCTGCCGCTCAACGAGCGCTGCGAGAGACAGAGCGCAACAATGTTACGGCGCTGCATACGAACTTACTCGGTGTTGTCCGTAATTGGCTCCTTCTCCATGATCCTCGCCGTCATCCGCAACGACCCCTGGTACTTCGTCAAGGCACCCCGATATATGATGGAGACGCGACCGCTCTTCACCTTCATGGTCGCCATTTCGACGATCGAGTTGTACGTCGCCCCAGTGGCAGTAGGTAGGAGCGTGCACCGCTCAGGTTGCCGTTTACTAGGGTGCACGACCGAGTGCACGACGCATTATCGCCCTGGCTTTGTAGGTGTTTTTGACGGCCTGCTTATCATGCTGAGCCTCCACCTAGTCTGCAAGTGCGACGTGCTAGTCCTGATGCTTCGGAAGACGGTGCGCCGGGACGCCGATGAGATTGGCCTCCAGGACGCCGCCGAGCAGTGGGAGTGCCTGCGCCTGTGCGCGGTCTACCACCAGCACATCATCAGGTGATGCCGCGGCTGAGGCGCGCGTGGAGCACCCCGTCAGAGCCGACGGCACTTCATCTGTGTGCTTGCAGGCTGCACCGTGCTTCCGAGTCCTTCTTCTGCACCATCGCCTTGTGCCAGATGTTCTACACCTTCTTCGGCCTGGGCACCCCGCTCTTCCGCATGCTGGACAAAGTGAGTTAGCCCGCCCCCCAGCCCCGCCTGGCACTTGCTAACAGTCGATGTTCTGCCTCGGCCCCACAGACGCAGGAGGTGGACCCGCAGGACATCGCCTATAGTGCCGCCTACGTGATGTGTCCCTTTCTTCAACTGTTCACCTACTGCTATTCCGGTGACATCGTGGCTAAGGCTGTAAGGAGTAGGGAGGGCAACACCACTCTACCGCGCAGACCCGCATTAAATTTGCTCGACACTCGGCCTGAAATGAATGAATTACGGAGCCCGGAGTAGAAAGAATAAACCACGAAAAAGACGGAGCGAGCAATTGAATGCGAGCCGTTAGAGTATGAAAAATAAACGTTGTTTTATTGATATTAAACGATCGAAGGGCAGATAGCTACACCCAGCAAAAAATTTTCTTGGGACAAATATAGAAAAATAATCAAACTCGTGTGTGCTCTTGAAACAAGCACCAAAAAGGAGGCCAATAATAGTGCAAAACCTGTTCTCATAGACTGGCAAAATACCGGCAAATACTCTCCGCGGACCACCTCGCGTAACCGCGAGGATCCCGCGGACCACCCCACTCCACGAGGTAACGAGGACACCACCGACCACACCCAGAGAATCGTTTCTTTGATAGACGTAAAGAAATTCTTTCTTTAAATCAAAGAAGCCTTCTTTTATCCAAGAATAAATATTTCTTTGAATCAAAAGAGATCTTTGATTAAAAAAAAATTCTTTACGTCTACATCAAAGAAATATAGGCCAATTTTCTTAGTTGAAAAGAAACGATTTTCTGGGTGCAGCCCGCGGGACCGCTACAGGCTAGGACCCCGCGGGACGCGGGAGACTTTGTTGCCCCTTCTCCCTTCTTGTTAACTACGACTAGGCCTACATCACTTTGCTTTGGATTTTGCACTTTGTTTCACGATAAACAAGAACATTTTCAAGTGGGGCATGGAGTATCAATGTTCCGTAGACCAAAGTCCGAAGTAAATTTGCATTGCTCCGAGTAAACTTGCTCTGCATTGCACATTTTGTGCTTGCACGAGTCAAGCTCAAAATGCAAATTCAAGACAAGAATTGTTTTTTTTCTGGGTGTACGCGTTTATCAGATACCGACGAATCGCATGCCGGGTATGGTTGATGGATGAACCCCGCTACACTTTTGATCTGTGCTACCCGCCCTCACGGCTCCATCCGGGACTGTATACCCAACAGGCGTTGCGGACCGGCTCCAAGCGCCGCCAGCGCGTCGCTGCGCCAGTGTTGTTGGCAGCAAATACCCCCGAAGGCCGCTCTCGCGGATCGGGTGGTCTACTGCGGTCCTATTACTATGGACCAAGGGGGTAGTTCGCGAGTCCGCGAGTCCGCGAATCCTGCCGCGGTGGTAGCTCGCGGTTTACTAATCTTTCGGGGGGGATACGCCGACCCGCGAGTTACCGCCTCGAAGGCGCGAACAACTCCCTGGCAACGCCCCGCCGTAGACCGTGTGAACCGCGAGTGTGAAGCGCGAGTGCTCCTTTCCGGGGCGCTTGTTCGCAAAATTAGTGGCGGAGCAACGTGTCGGAGATCGCGTAGAGCCGGTCCACTAAGCCTGGTGGGTATGCAGTCCCGGATGGATCCGTGCAGACGGGTTGCACAGTACAAAAGTGAGCGGTGTTTCTCAGCGTCCTGGCACAAATGCTGTTTCCGCTTTTTAGCCCACCCTTCTGCTTTGAAAAAGCTATCCAGCGGGCTCATGCAAACGACCTCGTGTCTGTCTGTCTGTTCCACTAGAAGGAGATATGCTAGAGACTTGAAATTTTCAGGGTATCTTAAGGTCTACTCCTAGAGAACGAGACGCCTACGGCAAATCCTGGCAACCACTCCTAAGGGTGTGAATGGGGGTATCCAAGGTTCAAAAATTCTCCCAAAAAGTATTTTGGCGGGTCTGCTTGTTTTTTATATGTTGTCCTAGGGGGTAACTCCGCAAAGCAGAGCTCTGTGGGCGAAAATTTCGTCCGTTTTGCTCTACCTCTATGCCATAGTAAACAATAAGTTGCAGAAAAAGGCATAAACACCGCAAAATAGAAAGGAAACTCTCCCCCCACCCCCAAAAAAACGTTTTCTAAGCAGAAGTGTGGGTTGTAGTCGCGGCGCTTCACCGATATTTCATTTTTGTTTTTGCTAGTGAAAGTAAAGACCTCTCCAACTCCGCCGGAGTTGCCGGCGGAGTGAAGCGGAGCTGGCAACTTCGTTTGGCGGAAGGGCGGGCCTGCTTGGTTTTTTTTGTGTTCTCCTCAGGGGGAACTGGTCAAAGCAGAGCTCTGTGGGCGAAAATTTCGTCCGTTACGTTCTATCTCTAACCGTTTACGCGCTACAGGGTCTTTTTTGACGAAAATAAGCTAAAAATTGCCATATACAATAAGTTGTAGAAAAAGGCCTAAAAACCGCAAAATAGAAAGGAAACTCTCCCCCCACCCCCAAAAAAACGTTTTCTAAGCAGAAGCGTAGGTTGTAGTCGCGGTGCTTCACCGTTTAGGGTGGAGTGAAAATCTGGGATCTTAAAAGTCGACATGGATTATTGTACTTCAAGGTATCCTAAGACTAGCTGCAGGGTCGATTTGGAACCATCGGAAGCCCTTAGGCTCGTGCAAAGGGCCTAAAGTTAGGTCTGCAGGGCTAAAACACCACTTTTTGACCTCCAGGGGTCACTCTAGGGGTCATCCGGGAAACGGCTATCTCTCAAAAGGT